AGCCTGGTCTACAGAGTGAGTTCCAGGACAGCCAGGGCTACACAGAGAAACCCTGTCTCGAAAAAACAACCAACCAACCAACCAAAGAAACAAAAAGATGGAGTGTGAGTGAAGATAACTGATGTTACCCTCTGACCTCCACAGGTGCCTGCCCACAACCACCCAAGGGATACATACACAGAGTATAGTCAACAGTATGGCTACAAAGTGGCTGTGTTAGCTTTCTTTTCAGATATTTGTGATACTTTGTTACTCTTTTGAAACTTCTGTACTATGGATATGCCTTTACATAGGTACAGACTAGGAGACAGTAATGTTATGGATGTACCAAAAAAAAAATGTGTGCAAATTCTCCATATTTGGGGAAATGCTTCACTGGTCTGTGCGACCGTGGTTTCTGAGGTCCTGAGGATCCTGACACCATTTATGTCCACCTTTGCTCCCAGATGACCCTGGATTTTCCACTCTCTCCCATATTACGGGAGTTCACCTGGCTGCCTGGCTTAGAACAGGTAACCAAAAGATGTGTAGTAAATAAAACTGTGGTTTGTGAGTCACCTGAAATGAACCCCGAGACAACACAACAGTGAGCGAACTGAGGAAGGGTAAGAATTGGTTGAAGGAAAACATCTTCGACAACAGAGCCAAGAGCCTGAGCTCAAATCCTGCCTCCATCCAGAGGCGCTATACACTCACCAGCCTGTTCTGAGCCTCTCTTCTTACCAGTGAAATGGGCCAGTAAGGCTTTACCTTGGGTTTCTCCGGGAGAGTGAAAGGATGTTTTCAGAAAGAGTATGGATTCTATGAAAGGAAAGTTCTTTTAGGTTCCTGACCTTGGCTTGCACACAGAGTCCAGCCTACCTCAGCAGAAAAGTACTTCCAGTTCTCTGCCCCTCCCAGAAGCCTGAGCTGAGCTTGGGAACTTCAGTCTCAGGCTCTGAACCCAAGCGCAGTGTCTGGTGCTTGGCGGTGCTCAGTGAGTTTGATGAACTCTATGCAGGTCATTCCCCTTCTGGACCTGGTCTTGCCTTTGTATAGAAGACACATCTCAGGCTTTCTTTCCTGGTACTTCTGACATCTACATCTGCTTTTCTAGAAGAGCCTAGGAGTCACATTTAGGGAAGGTGAGTAGGTGGGAAGAGGCTTTTGACTAAAAGGTTAGTGCACATTTTTGGCTCCCACTTCCGATTCTTCCAGAAGGTCTTTTATTTCTTGTCTACTTAATAATAACATAAAAAGAGCCATGCTACTTTTTTTTTTTTTAATTGAAGACTTTATGTTAAGCCGCCCACTCCAGCCATCCCAGGACATGGCGAAGAGGGGGCGCGGACAGGTGTAACGCGGGGGTGCGTGTTAGAGGGGCTGTGCAAAGCCCGGCCTGAGAGTCCCAGCGGTGGTCACCGACCCTGGCGCCCTCTCTAAGGGCTTGGTGAAGCTTCGAAGACTCGAGTCCCCAGGTCGGTCTCGTGGTGTCACGATCGTCAGGACCCCAGGACTCAGATCTATGCGCCTGCTGCTCCCCCACCCACAGCACGAGGGCGGAGCCCCGGCACACTGATGTAATCCCAGCGCCTGGGCGGAAGGATATGGAACGCGGTGTTGGCTGGCCGGGCGCTGAGGCCGTTGCCAGGTAACGCAGTGGAGCGGCTGCCGCGCGCCGCCTCCCGCCCTCCGCCGCCTGGCGCTGGGGCCGCCGCCGCTTTACGTAAGGCGCAGGCCAGGGCCGCCCGGCGCTCGGCAGCCGCCTGCAGCCCTCGGAGCGCAAGGAGAGGCGCCCACCCGGTAGCCTTGGCAGGTAGGCGGGGGCCGGGAGCGGGGCCGTGGCGGGTGGCCGGCCCGAGGGATGTCCGGCTCGAAGACTCGGCGGGCGGCGTGCGATGAGTGCGCACAATGGGCCGCGGCGGGCTAAGGCGGCCCGGCCTGAGGACAGCGGCCGAGCCTCGCCCCGCGCCCTCAGCTTTGTCCTTCGGCGGTCGGGGGCGGGAGCGGCGCGGTGAGTGGCGGGCACGCGGGCCTATGGCGCGGGGTCCGAGAAGGTGACGGCCGAGGGTAGAAGTGACAGGCCCCGGAGTCGCCGGCCTGCGCGCGCCACTGCCCGGACCCTCGCGGCCCGGCTTCCGGCCGGCGTCCCTGGAACTCCCGGCGGTGGACGCCGGGCCAGGGCTGAGCGCGCTGCGTAGAGGCCAGGACAGGACGAGCAATGGGGAGCAGACTCCCGAACCTGGCAGCCCCTCCCTTCAGTGTTTGCCCTTCTGTAGAAAAACCTTAAAGGTTTAACCAAGAAAAGTGAGATGGAGATAAACTGGGGAGGGGGGCATGCAACTCTGGAGTCATTTACTAAATGGGGTTTTTGGTTCTTCTCATCACCTGCATCGTAGACTTTGCCTCGTTGCCCAAGTAACTGACAATGCATTTTGCATTTCTGGCTCTTGGCTTGTTAAGGAAACTGTAGGAGAGGATTGCTGAGGAGCTGGGGACGTGCAGTTTGGATAACAGGTGATGCCATGGAAAAGACTATGCAGTGAAAACCCCACGCAAGATTTCTGCCACCAGTATAGAACCCTTTGCATGACACTTTGTCGGGTTTAGAGATTTCAGATTTAAAAGAAGGGAAAAAAATATCTGTCACTCTGCATTCTGAAGGTCAAATATTCGCCCGCAGATATTTTGGGCTGAACCATTCTTAACTAGGTCTCAGGATCTTTACGACAAAAACCGTTCTGGAGCTGTGCATTTGAAATACCCATGGAGGCTTCTTGCAGTTCATACTTATTGTAGATTTAGTTGCTATTCTTGCCAAATGATGTACTTTTAAAATGTATTCTTTCACAAGTTCATTCATATATCTATATTATTATGTACCTTAATCATATTTCCCAATTATCTTCTCTTATCCAAACATTGAATTGTAATTATGTATGTACTTATGTGTGTGTGTGTGTTTGGGTACATGTATATTTGTGTGTGGAGGCCAGTGATCAATATCAAGGTTTTTTTTATAATTATTTTAAAAAATATTTATTTAAAGTGTATTAGTGTTTTACCTGTATGTATATCTGTGTAAGGGTGTCAGATCCCCTGGAACTGGAGTTACAGACAATTGTGAGCCACTGTTCAGTTGCTGGGAATTGAACCCCAGGTCCTGTGGAAGACAGGCCATTTGCTGTTAGTCACTGAGCCATCTCTCTGACCCCAAGGTGTTATTTTTGAGATTAAGGTTTCACTAGGTAGACCAGGCTGGCCAAGAACTTTAGAGATATGATTGCCTCTGATTTTGAAATGCTGACATTTGAGTCAGGGTCTCTCACTGAACTTGGAGCTCACCAATTCATCAAGGTTGGCTGGCCGGCAAGCTTCAGGATCCTCTCATCTCAGCCTTCCCGTCATTGGGATTCCACAAATGCCTAATCATTTAAAAAGTAGTTAGGGCTGGGGATGTAGCCCAGATGCAGCCCAGTATTAAATTCTCAGAATGTAAAATAAAATAGGGCTTTAAGTTGAGTGTAACAGTTTTTTTATGAGCCTATTTTCACTAAGAAAATGCCACCGTGGCCAGTGAAATATCAAGAGGAGAGTTTTGTTCTTATTTAGTGTCATAGAGATACATGTATTGTTCTTTGAACAGAAGGGTGAATATTTTTAACATGGCAACATTTAACAAGGCAACTCTGTTTAAAGGATGATTGGTTTATTTGATATACAAATTATGAACATTAAAAAAAGAAACTTGGGCTGGTGAGATGGCTCAGTGGTTAAGAGCACTGACTGCTCTTCCAGAGGTTATGAGTTCAAATCCCAGCAACCACATGGTGGCTCACAACCATCTGTAATGATATCTGATACCCTCTTGTGGGGTGTCTGAAGACAGCTACAGTGTACTTACATATAATAAATAAATAAAAATTAAAAAAAAAAAGAAACTTAATGGTGTTTTCCCTTGTTCCCATTTGTTGTGTAGCTCCCTCTATGCCTGATTTTATCCCAGGGCTCTTTCAAAGTGTTGGACTTGCTCTTCCTCTTTTGTGTGGAAACACACCAAGCCTGAGCTTTGCCCCTGTTTTTGCATCATTTGACTTGGAGCAGTTACTGGCCTCTGAGCTAGTTTTGTCGTCTGTGAAATGGGAAGAATGGTGAGACCTGTCTTGCAGGATAGAGAGGCAGAGAGGGGTGGTGTGAAGTAATGTCACCCTCACTCAAGCAAGCTTTTAAAATGCTGTTAGTGCTGACATTTCTAAGGCCGCAGATTCCCCAGCTGGTTGGAAGCAGTCAGCTCTCTTTAGGCCGCTATTGCTTTCTCTTTACTTTGCCTAGCTTCCAGGATTCTCTTTCCCAAACACATGGCAGCCTCTGGTCCTGCAAGCGTCTAAGCACCTGTGATTTGGAGCTTAGAATGCAGTTATAATAACACAGTGTTGGCTGTCTCTGGCAGTGCAGTGCAGCCATCCTGTGCTGGCCGCCTCCTTCCCACATTATCTTGCTAAGTCTTCTGCTCTGAGCATGCCAAACAGTTTCAGACATTCTTGATTTATACTCTTTCTTCTGATCTGAGTGTCTTTCACTTCCATTTTCTCTAGTTTTAAAAAATTCTTATAAGAAGATGCTGTATCTTCTCTGGAGCCTTTAGAAGTACTTCAGAATGAATTCCTCCTTGCTGTAGGCCTTGTGGATGGATGACACGCTTTTTCTTAAAATGTTTCTTTTGTGGAAATTAAATATAAAATATTATTGCTTTCAAGAAGACTTACTTATTAACCCATTAGTACTGGATTAGAAAGAGTCCAGTTCAATTCCAGCCCCTCTCTTGCTTCCTGGGTCACCTCTCTTGCTTCCTGGGTTACCTCCCTTGCTTCCTGGATCACCATGGGCAAGCTTGTTATATTTCTTGACCTTCAGTCTTTCTGTGAAACAAGAAGTCTCATCTTATGTCTTTTGCTTTATAGTGACCTGGATTCTAGGGATTGAACTCAGGTTTCCAGGCTTGCTTGACAAATGCCTTTATTCACTGAGCCATCTTGTTGGCCCTGGAGACTGTTTTGATTACCAGATTATTTTTTTTTAAAGAAAGATTTATTTTTATTTATATGCATGTATATGCATATTCTTCCCCTGGAGACCAGAAGATGGTGTTGGACTTCTTTGGAACCATAGTTACGGGCAGTTGTGATCTGCCTGACTTGGGAGCTGGAAACTGAACTCTGGTCTCTGGAGGAGCAGTAAGCATTACTACTTAACTGCTGAGCCCAGGAATCAGACTTTTACCAGCTCTGTATGCATGCTTTTGTTGTTCCTGCTCCCCCTCCTTTTTTTCTTTTTCTTGTGGTGTTTAGGATTAAACCCAGGGCATCATGTAGTCTAGACAAGCACTCTACCAACTCAGTTATATCCCCTGCCCCTCTATGCACTTTTAATCTGTCTTCCTTGATCACATTCCCCTGCTCTACCCTCTCAAGCTATTGCTGGTTTCTAGGGAAGAATGTATACTAGCTTCCCTTGACTAAGGGGTAGTATAGAAAGGGTTAAGAATGTACCCTAAGCCGGCAGTGGTGGTGCGCTGCCTGTATGCCTTTAATCCAAGCACTTGAGAGGCAGAGGCAGGCAGATTTCTGAGTTTGAGGCTAGCCTGGTCTACAGAGTGAGTTCCAGGACAGCCAGGGCTACACAGAGAAACCCTGTCTCGAAAAACAAACAAACAAACAAACAAACAAACAAACTGTACCCTAAAAGCATTGCCGCTATGCTTATTCTTTTAGTTACGTCTGAAACTGTATGTCTTCTTGTACGTCATATGTTAGGCAGCTCCCAGAACACTTGATGTAAACAACCTCTGGGAGGGAAGTTCTGTTTTGGCTTATGGCTCTGAGATTTCAGTCAATCATCACAGAGGATAGATATGGTAGCTTGAAAATCTCAACCCAATGGAAGCCAAGAAGTGGAGAAAGACAGACAGACAGATGGGGTCAGAGACAGATACCCCAAGGACTTGCCTCCAGTGACCTACTTCTTGTTAAGTCTCACCTTCTGATGTTCTTAGCACCTTCAAAAATAGTGCCCTCAGCTGGAGACCAAATGTTCAAATAAGCCCGAGGGGCACATTTCAAATTTATAACATCCCACCCTGGGCCCCAAAATGTATTTATATAATTGCTCTTATCTAAAGAGTTCCCAATGTACTACATTTCAACATTGCTCAAAAGTCCAAAGTCTCTTCTAAGACTTGAGGCAATCTCTTAGCGATGAGTCCCTGTAAAATAAAAAAGATAATTACACACACAAGGGCACAGAGTAAACATTTCCATTCTAAAAAGTAGAACAGAATAGCCAGTAAGGACTGTATGGACCCAACAGGGCAAACTTTAAAGCTTACTGCTCCATGTCTGTCTTCTGAAGTGAACACTTGTAAGCTCCAGTGAGCTTGGACAGCCCTGCTGTTTGGCTTTGCTGTTTGCATGCAGCCCATGTGAACTTTCTTGGGTTGGCTCCACTCAGTGACATCTTGGGCTGCCATAGTGCAGGAACCCTCATCTTATCACACATTTCCTGACTTCTCAGGTTTTTCTTTGAAACCTGGGTGGAAACCAGGTTTCTATGGCTCTACTTTGCTTACCTGCTAACCCAGCATCACTTGGAAGTGCAAATATTTGCTGCCAGTTTCAGTAGTAGCCTGGCTCCCTGAGACCATAACTACAGTAGTCTCAAGAGTACCTGGGTGCTGAGCGCAATGAACAAATCCCGGGGAAACAGCTTCCCAGATGGCCTTGTCCTTGTCCACCCATGGTATTTTCTTTCTTCTCAGGG